AAATTTGGAAAGAGCCCAGATGTCCAACAACAGATGAAAGGATAAAGAAGATGTGGTGTAGATATACAACTGAATATTACTCAGCCATCAAAAAGAATGAAATCTTGCTATTTGCAATGACATGGATGGAACTAAAAGGTATTATGCTAAGCGAAGTAAGAGAAAGACGAAAATCATTCAATTTCACTCATATGTGGAATTTAGAAATAAAACAGATGAACATAGGGGAAGGGAAGGAAAAAATAAGATAAAAACAGAGAGAGAGGCAAACCATAAGAGACTCTTAACTATAGAGAATAGACAAGGTTGCTGCAGGGGAGGTGGGTGGGAAGATGGTGTAAATGGGTGATGGGAGGGCACTTGTTTTGATGAGCACTGGGTATTATAGATAAGTGAAGAGTCACTAAATTCTATTCCTGAAATTAATACTATACTATATGTTAACTAAATTGAATTTCAATAAATCTGGAAAGAAAAAAGTTAAAATAAAAATAGCAAACTCTTGGGGAGCCTGGGTAGCTCAGTTGATTAAGCAACTGACTTGATTTCAGCTCAGGGCATGATCTCAGGGACCTGAGATTGAACCTCACACTGGACTCTGTATTCAGCAGGGATTCTGCTTAAGAACTGTCTCTCTTGCTCTTCTTCTACCCCTCACCCCTGCCATTCTCACTTTCCTCTCTCTAAAATTTGAAAAGTTGAACACTATATCAAAAACTAATGTACTATATGTTGGTTAATTGAACATAATTTTTTAAAAGTTGCATTCTACAAACTCACACACCATAAAATGAAAATAAAATGCTTATCAGTTAAAAATAATAATAAAATAAAGCAAAAATCTTTATATAAAAAGGAAAACACAACAAGGACAAAGGACATCACAAGAAATTCACAGAAGAAAAATAAATGGTCAATAAACATGGAGAGAAGTTTAACTGTCTTAATCTATAAAGATCAAATTTAATCCAGATTCTTCAGAATGACAAAAGATAAAACTTGAAATCTGGTGTTACTAACCCTTTGTCAAATATGTCATTTGCAGGGGTAGTTGTAAAGAAGTTGTAAAACTCAATACCCAAAAAACAATCCAGTTTGAAAATGGGTGGAAGACATAAATAGACATTTTTCCAAAGAAGATATACAGATGGCTAACATACACATGAAAAGATGATCAACATCACTCATCATCAGGGAAACACAAATAAAAACTACAATGAGGTATCACCTCACACTTGTTATAATGCTAAAACTAACAACATAGGAAATAATATCATTTGGCAAGGATGTAAGGAAATGGTGAGAATTCAAACTGGTACAACCACCCTGGAAAGCAATGTGGAGGGTCCTTGAAAGTTTAAAAAAAAAAAAAAAGTACCTTCAACCCAGCAATTGCACTACTAGATATTTATGCAAAGGTTACAAAAATACTGACTCAAAGGGATACATGCACCCCAATGTTATCAACAATATCCAAATTATAGAAAGAGTCCAAATGTTCATCAACTGATGAATGGATAAAGAAGTTCGGGTATATATAAAGATTTTTACTCAGCCATAAAAAAAGAATGAAATCTTGCCATTTGCAACAATGTGGAGGGAGCTACAGAGTATTATGTTAAGTAAAATAAGTCAAAGAAAGACAAATATCATATTATTTCACTCATGTGTGGAATTTAAGGGGAAAAAAATAAAACAGATGAACAAATGGGAAAAAAGAGGGGCAAACCAGAAAACAGACTCTTAACTATAAAGAACAAACCAAGGGTTGTTGGAGGGGAAATGGGGGAGGGGGCTAAATGGATGATTGGCATTAAGGAGGGAACTTGTAATGAGCACCGGGTGTTGAATGTAAGTGATGAATCACTCAATTCTACACCTGAAACTAATACCACACTGTATGTTAACTGGAATGTCAATTAAAACTTGGGGGGGATATCCAGGATCTATAAAGAACTCCTCAAACTCAACACACACAAACAGATAATCATGTCAAAAAATGGGCAGAATACATGAACAGAAACTTCTACAATGAAGACATACAAATGGCTAACAGACACATGAAAAAATGTTCATCATCACTAGCCATCAGGGAGATTCAAATCAAAACCACATTGAGATACCACCAGTTAGAAAGGCCAAAATTAACAAGATAGTAAACAACGTGTGTTGGAGAGGATGTGGACAAAGGGGAACCTTCTTACACTGTTGGGAATGCAAATTGGTACAGCCACTTTGGAAAACAGTGTGGAGATTCCTTAAGAAATCAAAAATAGAGCTTCCCTATGACCCTGCAATTGCACTACTAGGTATTTACCACAAAGATACAGATGTAGTGAAAAGAAAGGCCATCTGTACCCCAATGTTCATAGCAGCAAAGGCCACAGTCGCCAAACTGTGGCAAGAACAAAGATGCCCAACGGAAGAATGGATGAAGATGTGGTGCATTTATACAATGCAGTATTATGCCTCCATCAGAAAGGATGAATACCCAACTTTTGTATCAACATGGACGGGACTGGAAGAGATTATGCTGAGTGAAATAAGTCAACCAGAGAGTCAATTATCATATGGTTTCATTTATTTGTGTAGAATAGGATATAACATGGAGGTCATGGGGAGATGGAGAGGGAATGGAGTTGGGGGAATTTGGAGGGGGAGACGAACCATGAGAGACTATGGACTCTGAAAAACAATCTGAGGATTTTGGAGGGGTGGGGGGTGGGAGGTTGGGTGAGCCTGGTGGTGGGTGATATGGAGGGCACTTATTGCATGGTACAGTGGGTGTGGTACATAAACAATGAATTCTGGTACACTGAAAAGAAATGTTTAAAATAAATAAAAAATTAAAAAGAAAAAACTTGGGGGGAAAAGAAGCCTAGAGGCACCTAGGTGGCTCAGTCTGTTAAGCATCTGACTCAATCTCCGCTCAGGTCTAGATCTCAGAGTCATGAGTTCAAGCTCCATGGTGGGCTCCATTGCTGGGCATGGAGCCTACTTTAAAAAAAAAAAAAAGCAGCAGCCTAACATAAGTTATTGGTGTTAATTGGAGTCAATTTATCAGTATCTAGTACTATTTTAGAAACCCATGCCTTGACCTAATTTTACTTCTCAGTACCTGCAAAAATATTTATACATATACAAAAACATGTTTAAAAGAGGTCATTCATTCTGCATTTCTTAAATACTGAAGAAATTGAAATGCCCTTAACATTCACCAATATGAGAATCTAAAAAATATAGTATACCTATCTATGGAATTAAATGCAACTTTTTCAAGAAGATTTTCTAGGACATTAAGTGAATAACTTACTATGTAAAAATTATGTATGTGATATATGTATGCAAATGCATAGAAAACAGCCTAGTGACATACACACCTTGCACTGCACTGAATAGTGTCACACAAAAATTCATGTCTTTCTAGAACCCTAGAATGTAAACTTATTTGGAAATAGAGTCTTCACAGATATAATTAACCAAGTAAAAATGAGGTCACAGTGGATTAGGGTGGGACATAAATCCAATGACTGGTATACTTATACAAATGTCATATGAAGACATACAGGAAAGAAGATCATGTGAAGACGGAGACAGAGAGTTGACATTAGCTACAGGTCAATGAACAACAAGGACTGCTGGTAACCACAAGAAACTAGGAAAGAAGCGTGGAGCAGCAGATTCTCCCTCCGAGACTTCAGAAGGAATCAACCTTGCCAACACCTTACTTTGAACTTCTGGTCTCCTTGAACCATGAGAGAGAAAAATTTGTTGTCTTAAGCCACCCATTTTGTGATAATTTGCTGTGGCAGTGCTAGGAAGCTAATTTACACCTGTTTAATAATGGTTAGCTCTACAGAAGAGATTCTATATATTTCTATATTGTTTTAATATTTTACAGTGAGAATTTGTTATTGCATGGCTAATTATTTGGACAATAAAAATAAATAACCCACATTTTATATTGGAATTTTTTTTTAAAGATTTTTATTTATTTATTTGACAGAGAGAGATCACAAGTAGGCAGAGAGGCAGGCAGAGAGAGAGGAAGGGCGGGGGGAAGCAGGCTCCCTGCTGAGCAGAGAGCCCGATGCGGGACTCGATCCCAGGACCCTGAGATCATGACCTGAGCTGAAGGCAGCGGCCCAACCCACTGAGCCACCCAGGCGCCCCTTATATTGGAATTTTTGACTCTGCCATTTATCAAGTATGAATAAATGTATGAAATAGAAGTATTGAAATCTTGAGTGTGTCATTAAACATATGACTGTCTCAACTGTTTCTTTTGTAAAATGGGGATAGTAACATCTACCCTCCTCACCTTCCAGGGTGGTACTGGAGTCCCCATGGACCCTTTTTGTCTCATTGTCCACATCCATTTCTCCCCCAAAATGGCTCTGGAGATTTTACCATTTACACTACCATCTCTGTCTCTAATTCCTGTTGCCAGGCTCTAGCAGATTCATTTTACCAAAAACACCACTAAATATTCCTTTCCTTTTTGAAACCCATCAATGTTTCCTCATTACCTATTAAATTGAATCCAAACTTCTTAGCAGTTCAAGACCTACTATATTCTGAGCATCACCTACCACCTAGGCTTATCAATCTCCACTGCTTCCTTGGTAGAGGGAAGCCAGGTTTGTGGATAATCTTTGAACCTTGAGCCTTGCCTTTTTCAGCCATGCCATTGTGTATGCTTACCCATATACATGAAATATCCTCCATCCTAACCCCCTTTCCAGATTCATCGCTTCTCCCATGGCCCCACAATAGAAGTATTTCATTGTCCTTTAACTCCTGAAGCACAAACCCTCTGTATTTAATGTATATTAATCACCCCCCCATTAAACTGCAAACTCCTTTTGAGAAAAAGAACTTTATTCACAATCGTGCCTAGCACGCTATTTTAAGGAGAGTAGGTCATCAGTATGTATTTGTCACATAAATGAATAGCAGTGACAAAACATTTGACTTTTATAGAATTGATATGTGTTCTAAAATAGTTTTAAATTATAAACAAAAATCATATTCTACCAGTACATACCAGTACTGTCACAGTAGCTGTAAAATACTGAAATACCTCCCTAACATTGCCCTTTGCCCCCTGAATGCCTCCCACTGCCATTGTAAGCCTGGTTTCTCCTCCCCTAGGAGCATCTGGACTCCCACACTACCCTAACTAAAGAATTAATATCTTCCACAGCAAGGAGCACTCTCTTCCCCAGCCATATGGCCAACGGTCTAGAGGTGGAAGTATCTATTCTGACTGATCAAGAACCCTGCAAAGTTACTGTTAAATTACCCCTTATTATAAACAATTTACACAATTTGAAAACGAGGCTTCTCACTGCAAAATTTCATGGAAGAGTCAACAGATCCAGGGATAGAGAGGAAAATGAAATTCTGTCAGTCTCTGAAGTTTTAGAGTACATCCATTAGGACTCAATCTTCATGTAAACCAGAAGATAAGCAGTTTCTCTCCTAGAAGAAAAAAATGCAACAGCATAACAGAAATGAAACATTCATAGTTAATTGACACATTACTAATTCATGATAGGACAAGCATCAGAAGTTTCTGGTTGTTGAATCAAGTCTTCATCTATCCATGACCACAGAGGGGAAAAAATGGGTAACCTGGGAAAATAGCAACTAAGCTTCTATTAGTTGATATCTGTATCGGGGGTTGACAAACGACCAGGCCACAAGCCAGATCTAACCCTGTTCTTGCAAGTAAGTTTAACTAGAACACAGCCACACTCATTCATTCATGTATTGTTGTGGCTGTTTTTGTGGTACAAGATCAGAGTTGAGTAGTTGCAACAGAGACTACATGGCTCACAAAACCCAAAATGTTTACTATCCTGTCCTTTACAGAAACAGTTTGCCAAACCCTGATCTAAATAATGAGAGAATCACTGACAACCAGAAAGAGATAAAGAATGGGAACCAAAAGGAGATGTTCAGAAGAAAGAAAAGACAAAGATAAAAAGTAGAAGATTGTGAGAGGATTTCAAACAAAAATTTCACCTAACTCATTATTTTTCAAGTGATAAGGTCCACTACTACAGCTGAAATCATTTCAAATACCACCTCTGGTATATAATGTCACCCCAAATCCAGAAACTCAATGGAAAAACTTACAAAGTCTCTCTGCTTTAACTTCATCTGGAGGCAGAGGAGTAGGGGACCCTAATTTGATCCAGTCCTTGGAATTCAGCTAAAGAGCTATCAAATCATTCTCTTTTTTTTTTTAATTTAAGTTCAATTAGCAAAGGTATGGTACATCATTGGTTTTTGATGAAATGTTCAGGGATTCATCAGTTCAGTATGACACCCAAGGCTCATCAAATCATTCTGAACACCTGTGAACTCAACTGGAGATCTAAGAAAAGAAGTGCTGCAATTCTACAAATTGAAAAGTGACCACTTTTTTGCAAGGTAGGAGGAGCAGAGAAGTGAATCTGAGGCAATATATGGGAAGATAAGCCTCAGGGGAAGGGAGCCTCCATAAGCTGGCTACCAAAAAGTTAAATAAGCAACAGTGTGTAAAATCAGAATTTTTAGAAGTCTGTTCCACTGGGAGATGTCCCTGCTGAAAGGTGCTCAGGAGGCAAAGCCAGGCAGAATCCCAGGTCAAACAATATGGTCTCATGATCCCTAGGGTCACAGAAAGAACAGGGAGCCTGAGTGTGGCAGAGTTCCAAGCATTGCAGCAGGGAACCTGGCTTCAAACAGCGAGCCCAGGAGTGGTTTTTCTGCTTGGTGTTGCCATAAACCTTGAACCACTGCATGGCTGGGGGACCATTCTCGAAGCAGGAGCCCAGAAAAAGGCAGAACTGCAGCAAGACCCCCCTTCCCTGTCCTGGGAGGAGCAGCATATGTGTGTACCACAGGAATCTGTGAAGTTTCAAGAGGGGTCACATGTCTGAGATTAAAATGCTCCATCACAGGCTAGGTGAGCACTGCAGACAGAAACCGGGGAGACAAGAGTGATTGCTTTTCCCTGATGGTGCTCTGGGGAGTAGGGGGTGCAATTTTCAGCTCCAAGGCTGGAGATCAGGTTGCCGTAGTTTTCATCGTCATCCCCCCAATCAGCATTGAAGCCTTCAGGAGAAAAAAATCCCACATAGAGCAATCCAGAACTATTTATACTGAACCTAGCCCCCTTTGCAAGGAGGCACAATACCACCCAAGCAAAGACACATGAGAATCAGTGCAAAATGTCCCTCCCCCAGAATATCAGCAAGAACATCTGGCTAATACCAACTTTACTTATCATACAGAACTGCAAAACTCCAGTGCTAGGAGAAAACAGTATTTAGAATTCATGGGTTTTTCTCATGATTCTTTAGTTTTTCAGTTTTAAATTTTTCCTTTTTACCTAATTTCTTAATTTATTAACTCTTTTTCTAGGTCTTTTTTAATTGATATTTTTACAGTTACATCATATATATTTATCATTTTTGACTGCTTTCATTGTATTCAACTTTATTTGTGTATATATATATTTTTTTCTTTCTTTACAATCTTGGGATCTAGTTTCTTCTGACAAACAGACCAAAATACACCCAGGATCTAGTTTATTATTCTGTTCTGTTCACCTTCTGTTTAATTTTATTGTTTCTTTTATTATTTTTATTTTTTTAATTTTATTTTTTCAGTGTTCCAAGATTCATTATTTATGCACCACACCCAGTGCTCCATGCAATATGTGCCCTCCTTAAGAGAGCCCAGATACAGACCCACAACTCTATAGTCAAATAATCTTCAACAAAGCAAAAAAAAAAAAAATAACCAGTGGAAAAAAGACAGTCTCTTCAATAAATGGTGCTGGGAAAATCTATAAAGAACTCCTCAAACTCAACACTCAAAAAACAGACAATCACGTCAGAAAATGGGTAGCAGACATGAACAGATGCTTCTCCAAAGAAGACAAACACATGGCTAACAGACACATGAAAAAATATTTCCTTTTTCTTTTCTTTTTTTTTTGGTTTCTAATTTCTTCTGATTTGTTTAGTGTATATCTTTCTGGAATCACTATTGCTATTTTTACCTTTTCTGGTCTCTTTCATCTATTCTTCTCTGGACATATGACAATGCAGAAGAACTCAACCAAAAAAGAGAACAACAGACAGTACTCACTGCCAGGGATTTAAGATGTCAGAATCAGAATCTGATAATAAAACAGAACTAGAATGATAATAAAGATACTATGGGTCTTGAAAAAAGCAAAGAAGATATCAGAAAATCTCTTTCTGGAGAAACAGAAGAATTAAAATCTAATCAGATTGAAATCAAAAAAGGTATTACTGAGATGCAATACAAAATGGAGGCTCTAACTGCTAGGATAAATGAGGCAGAAGAGAGACTCAGTGATAAAGAAGAAAAAATTATGGAGAATAGAAAAGCTGAAAAAAAGATGAACAACTATTGGATCACTAGGGAAGAATTCAAGAGATAAGTGACACCACAGAGAAAAACAATACTACAATAATTGGGGTCCCAGAGGAAAAAGAGACAGAAAGGGGGAAGAAGGTTTACTTGAGCAAAATATAGAGGAGAACTTCTCTAACTTGAAAGGAAACAGGCATTCAAGTCCAGGAGGCATAGAGAATTCCCCTCAAAAATCAACAAAAATAAGTCAACATCTTAATATATAATAATGAAGCTTGCAAATTTCAGAGGCAAACAGAAAACACTGAATGCAGCTTAAGACAACAGATGCTTAATCTACAAGGATAGAAACATAAGGCTGGCAGCAGACATATCCTCAGATCCAGCAGGCCAGAAAGGACTGGAATGATACATTCAACATGCTAAAGGGGAAAAATATGCAGCCAAGAATACTTTATCCAGCAAGTCATTCAGAGTGGAAGAAGTGATAAAGAGTCAAAACAAAAAAAAAAAAAAAAAAAAAGAGCCAGGACAAACAAAAACCAAAAGAATCACTAAACCAGACCTGCAAGAATCATTAAAGGGGATAATTTAAGCAAAGAGAGAGCCCAAAAGTAACATACACCAGAAAGGAAAGATAATCTAGAGAAACAGCAACTTTATAGGTAATACATTGGCACTAACTTCATATCTTTCAATAATTATTCCCAATGTAAATGGACTAAATGCTCCAATCAAAAGACAAAGGGAATCAGAAAGAAAAAAAAAAAAAAAACACAAGATCCATCAAAATGCTGTCTATAAAAGACAAATTTTAGACCCCAAAACACCTGCAGATTAAAAGTGAGGAAGTGGAGGGGCACCGGGGTGGCCCAGTCATTAAGCATCTGCCTTCATTCAGATCAGGTCATGATCCCAGGGCCCTGGGATCGAGCCTTACATCAGGCTCTGTGCTCAGTGGGAAGCCTGCTTCTCCCTCTCCCACTCCCCCAGTTTGTGTTCTTGTTCTCTCTCTCTCTCTCTCTCTGTCAAATAAATAAATAAAAATCTTTTTTTCTTAAGTACCACCAGGGAAATTCAAATAAAAACCACACTGAGATACCACCTTACACCAGTTAGAATGGCCAAAATTAACAAGACAGGAAACAACAAATGTTGGAGAGGATGTAGAGAAAGGGGAACCCTCTTACACTGTTGGTGGGGATGCAAATTGGTGCAGCCACTTTGGAAAACAGTGTGGAGATTCCTCAAAAAATTAAAAATAGAGCTTCCCTATGACCCAGCAATTGCACTACTGGGTATTTAACCACAAAGATACAGATGTAGTGAAAAGAAAGGCCATCTGTACCCCAATGTTCATAGCAGCAATGGCCACAATTGCCAAACTGTAGAAAGAGCCAAGATGCCCTTCAGTGGACAAATGGATAAAGAAGATGTGGTCCATAAATACAACGGAATATTATGCCTCCATCAGAAAGGATGAATACCCAACTTTTGTATCAACATGGATGGGACTGGAGGAGATTATGTTGAGTGAAATAAGTCAAGCAGAGAAAGTCAATTATATGGTTTCACTTACTTGTGGAACATAAGAAATAACATGGGGGACATTAGGAGAAGGAAGGGAAAAGTGAATTGGGGGAAACTGGAGGGGGAGATGAACCAGGAGAGACTATGGACTCTGAGAAACAAACTGAGGGTTTTAGAGGGGATGGGGTAGGGGGATGGATGAGCCTGGTGGTAGGTATTAAGAAGGGGATGTATTGCATGGAGCACTGGGTGTAGTACATTAAACAACAAATTTTGGAACACTGAAAAATTAAATAAATTATAAAAAATTTAAAAATTTAAATAAGTGAGGAAGTGGAGAGCCATTCATCATGATAATGGAAATCCAAAAAAGCTGGAGTAGTCATCCTCATAGCAAACTAGATTTTAGACCAAAGATATAATAAGTGATGAAGAAGGACACTATATCATAATCAAAGGGTATATCTAACAAGATCTAGCAACTGTAAATATTTATGCCCCCAGCATGGAGCAGCCAATTAATAACAAAATTAAAGAAACACAATAATAACAATAATATGCGACTTTAACACCCCACTCACAGTAATGGGCATATCATCTAAGCAAAAGATCAACCAGAAATCAAGGGATTTGAATAACACACTGGACCAGATGGATGTCACTGATATATAGAGAGCTTTCCATCCTCAAGCAACAGAATACACATTCTGGGACATTCTCCAGAAGAGATGACATATTGGTTCACAAATCAGGTTTCAACCAGTACAAAAGACTGGGATTATTCCCTTCATATTTTCAGACCACAGTGCTTTAAAACTTGAACTCCAGAAAATCTGGAAGGTACACAAGTACATGGAGGTTAAAGAGTATCCTACTAAATATTATTAATGGATCAATCAGAAAATTAAAGAAGAATTTTTAAAAATTCATGGAAACAAATGAAAATGAAAATACAACTGCTCAAATCTTTGGTATGTAGCAAAGACAGTCCTAGAGAAAAGTACATAGCAATACAGACCTTTCTCAAGAAACAGGAAAAGTCTCACATATACACGCTAAATGTACACCTAAAGAAGCTAGAGAAAGAACTGCAAAACAAAGTCTAAAACCAGCTGGAGAAGAGAAGTAATAAAGATTAGAGCAGAAATCAATGATACAACCCAGACATGCAAGCCCCCTTTCCAATGTTCTTGCCCCCCTCCTCTCTGAGTTCCCTTGTCCCCTCCCCTTCTGAGGGTAGTTCCCAAGCTGTAAGCCTCTGGATGGTCTCATGCTGTGAGGTTCTTCCCCTCACAAGCAATCCTGTTTGAGCCACACCCAATAAATCTTGTTGTGTGTTACTGCCAAAAAAAAAAAATCAATGATACAGAGATTAAAAAAAAAAAAACAGTAAAACAGGTAAGTGAAATCAGGAACTGGTTCTTTAAAAGGATTAATAAGATTGACAAACCCAAAGCCAGACTTATCAAAAGAGAGAGAGAAGGAGAGAGGCCCCAAATTAAGAAAATCATGAATGAAAGAGGAGAGATCACAACCAACACAAAATAAATACAATTTTAAGAATACAGAGCAATGGGGGTGCCTGGGTGGCTCAGTGGGTTAAAGCCTCTGTCTTCGGCTCAGGTCATAATCCCAGGGTCCTGGAATCGAGCCCCATATCAGGCTCTCTGCTCGGCAGGGAGCCTGCTTCCTCCTCTCTCTCTCTCTGCCTGCCTCTCTGCCTACTTGTGATCTCTGTCAAATAAATAAATAAAATCTTTTTAAAAATTTTAAAAAAAAGAATACAGAGCAATGATATGCCAACAAATTAGGCAATCTGGAAGAAAAGGATGCATTCCTAGAAACATATAAATTACCAAAACTGAAACAGGAAGAAATAAAAAAAAAAACCTGATCGGACCTATAACAAGCAAGGAAACTAATGCAGTAATGAAAAAACTTCCCAAATAACAGAGTCCGGGGCTGGATGGCTTCCCAGGTGAATTCTACCAAACATTTGAAGAAGAAATCATTATTCTTCTGTTTCAAAAAATGGAAATGTAGGGAAACTTTCAAACTCACTATAAGAGGCCAGCATTACATTGAGCTCCAAACCAAAGACCCCATCAAAAAGGAGAATTACTGACCAATATCCCTGATGAACATGGATGCAAAAATTCTCACCAAGATACTAGCCAATAGGATCCAAGAGTACATTCAAAGGATTATTCACCAGGACCAAGTGGGATTTATTCCTGGGCTGCAAGCGTGGTTCAATATCTGCAAATCAGTCAGTTGATATACCACATTAATAAAAGAAAGGGAAAGAATGATATAATTCTCTCAATTGATGCAGAAAACACATCTGACAAAATACAGTATCATTTCTATATTAAAATTAAAACTCTTCACAGTATAGGGATAGAGAGAACAGACCTCAATATCATAAAAGCCATCCGTATGGCAATTCACAGACCTGTACCCCTGGGGCTAATAATACATTATATGTTTATTTAAAAATTTAAAAATTATATTAAAAAAAGCCATCTGTAAAGAGCCCACATTGACCATCATCCTCAATGGGGGAAAAACTGAGAGCTTTTCCCCCATGGTCAGGAATATGACAGAGATGTCCACTCTCACCACTGTTTTTCAACATAGTACTAAAAGTTCTAGCATCAGCAATCAGACAACAAAAAAAAACAACTAAAAGGCATCCGAAACACCAAAGAAGTCAAACTTTCACTCTTCACAGATGGCAGAATACTTTATGTGAAACTCCCAAAAGATTCCACCAAAAAACTGCTAGAACTGATATGGGAATTCAGCAAAGTGGCAGAATTAAAAAAAAAATGCACAAAAATTCATTGCAATTTTGTACAGTAGTAATGAGGCAGCAGAAAGGGAAACCAAGGAATCTATCCCATTTCCAATTGCACCAAAACCAGATAAGATACCTAGGAAAAACCTAACCGAAGAGGTAAAGGATTTGTACTATGAAAACTATAGAACACTTACGAATGAAATTAAGGAAGAAACAAAGACATGGAAAAATGTTCTGTGCTCACGGACTGGAAAAACAAATACTGTTAAAATGTATATGCTACCCAGAGAAATCCATCCATTCAGTGCAAATCCTATCAAAATGCCACCAGCATTTCTCACAGAGTGGGAACAAATAATCCTAAAATGGGTATGGAACCAGAAAAGACCCTGAATAGCCAGAGGAATGTTGAAAAAGGAAACCAAAGCTGGTGGCATCACAGGCTGGATTTCAAGCTATTTTACAAAGCCGTAATCATCAAGACAATATTTTATTGGCACAAAAACAGACACATAGACCAATGGAACAGAATAGAGAACCTAGAAAAGGACCCTTATCTCTATGATCAACCAATCTTTGACAAAGCAGGAACAAATACCCAATGGGGAAAAAAAAGTCTCTTCCATATGGTGCCAGGAACATTGGACAGTCACATGCAGAAGAATGAAACTGGACCATTCTCTTACATCATATGCAAAGATAAACTCAATGTGGGTGGAAGACCTAATGTGAGACAAGAATCCATCAAAATCCTAGAGGAGAACACAGACTGCAACATCTTTGACCTCAGCTGCAATAACTTCTTGCAGACACATCCCCAGAGGCAAAGAAAACAAAGGCAAAAATGAACTTTTGGGACTTCTTCAAGATAAAAAGCTTCTGCACAGCAAAGGAAACAGTCAACAAAACAAAGAGGCAACCCACGGAATGGGAGAAGATGTTTGCAAATCACATTACAGATAAAGGGCTAGTATCCAAGATCTATAAAGAACTTCTCAAACTTAACACCCCAAAACCAAATAATCCAGTCAAAAAACAGACAGAAGATATGAACAGACATTTCTCCAAAGAAGACATACAAATGGCTAACAGACACATGAAAAACGTTCAACATCACTAGCCATCAGGGAAATTCAAATCAAAACCACACTGAGATAACCATCTTACACCAGTTAGAATGGCAAAAATCAACAAGGCAGGAAACAACAAATGTTGGCAAGGATGTGGAGAAAGTGGAACTCTCTTACACTGTTGGTGGGAATGTAAGCTAGTACAGTAACTCTGGAAAACAGTATGGAGGTTCTTCAAGATGTTAAAAATAGAGCTACCCTCCAACCCAGCAATTGAACTACTAGGTATTTACCCCAAAGATACAGATACCGTGAAAAGAAGGAGCATCTGCACCCCAGTGTTCATAGCAGCAATGTCCACAATATGTGGAAGGAGCTGTGATGCCCCTCAACAGATGAGTGGATAAAGAAGATGTGGTTCACCTCTTACAATGTTGGTTGGAATGCAAGTTGGTGCAACCACTTTGGAAAACAGTGTGGAGATTCCTTAAGAAATTAAATATAGAGATACCATATGACCCTGCAATTACACTACTGGGTATTTACCACAAAGATACAGATGTAGTGAAAAGAAGGGCCATCTGTACCCCAGTGATCACAGCAGCAATGGCCAGTCACCAAACTGTGGGAAAAAACCAAGATGCCCTTCAACAGATGAGTGGATAAAGAAGATATGGTCCATATATACTATGGAGTATTATGCCTCCATCAGAAAGGATGAATACCCAACTTTTTTATCAACATAGATGGGACTGGAAGAGATTATGCTAAGTGAGATAAGTCAAGCAGAGAGAGTCAATTATCATATGGTTTCACTTACCTGTAGATCATAGAGAATAACATGGAGGACATTAGGAGAAGGAAAGGAAAAGTGAATTGGGAGAAATGAGAGGGAGATGAACCATGAGAGATTGTGGACTCTGAGAAACAAAGGGTTTTGGAGGGGAGAGGAGTAGGAGGTTGGGAGAGCCTGGTGGTGGGTATTATGGAGGGCACGTATTGCATGGAGCACTGGGTGTGGTGCATAAACGATGAATTCTGGAACACTGAAATTAAAAATAAATAAATAAATAAAAAGAAGATGTGGTTCATATATACCATGGAATATTATTCAGACATCGAAAAGGATGAATACCTGCCATTTGTATTGACAGGGATGCAACTGGAGGGGATTATGCTAAGTGAAATAAGTCAAGCAAAGAAAGTCAATTATATAATATATAAATAACATAAAATATAATATATATTATATTATATATGAATATATATAAATAAATTATATATTATAAAATATAAATATATGGTTTCAGTCAGATGTGGAACATATGGAATAGCACTGAGGACCATAGGGAAAGGGAAGGAAAACTGAAGGGGGAGAGATCAGAGAGAAAGACAAATCATTAGAGACTCTGGACTCTGGGAAACAATCTGAGGGTTTCAGAGGGAAGAGAGGTAAGGTATGGGGCAGCTGGGTGATGGATATTAAGGAGGGCACATGTTGTGATGAGCAATGGGAATTATATGCAACTAGTGAATCTGAACACTACATCAAAAACTAATGAAGTACTATGTTGTGGCTAACTGAACCTAATTTTTAAAAAGATGAAAAATAATAAAACTTTCATCCTGTGGCACCTGGGTGGCTCAGTCAGTTAAGTGTCTGCCTTCAGCTCAGGTCATGATCCCAGTGTCCTGGGATCAAACCCTGCATCAGGCTCCCTGCTCAATGGAGATTCTGCTTCTCCCTCTGCCAGCTACTCCCCATGCTTGTGCTCTCTCTCTCTCAAATAAATTTTAAAAATCTTTTAAAAAAAAACTTAATCCAGCTTTTTTTCTCTAGCTGCCCCTCTGTAGTCATTGATTTTTAAAAATACATTTATAGCTATTTACTAAATGCAAGCCACTATATTGGCCAAAGAAAAAGAGAAGAAAGATCCTTAATCCCAAATAGCTCATGGTCTAATATAAAATAAAGTTATACATACAAACAGTTACAAACAGGGTTTGTTTGTTATAAAGGACATATGCTAAAAGTGCAGGACAAGCATATGAGAAAACCCTACAAATCTAGCATCAATCAGTGAATGCTTTACAGAGTAGGAAAAGCCATGAGCAGAGATATTAAAGCATAAGTGGGTGTTTGCCCCAATAATAAATTAGGAGAGGGAAAAACAGACCAGGAACTGCAAGTGCAAGCCACTGGAGGATATGATGCTGGCAAGCTAGTTATACTTTAGTATTATTGGCATCTAAATTGTGAAAAATGCATGGTACGGTGAGATGTAATGAGAGATGAGGCTGAACAGTCACTGGGGAGATATCCAAATACAAGTGGAAGCTAAATCCATAAGTTTCATACAGTAAAAGAACCCTGCGTAAACTCATTTGGTTTCCATCACTCAAACACTTCTCTTACCAGCGGTAGTTATGATTTCCATAAGTACACTGGATGTCTTCCCAGGATACCTGGAAGTACATAAATAGATGAAGTGAAGCATCCAGCTAACATATGTTAAGCACCCAGAGAGAATGGGGTGCTACAATGTACCCTTCCTCACTCATCCAGACAAACCCACCCCTAAGTACCTCTCAAGGCCTGGATCATTCAGTGATAGGACGCCATGTTTACGAAGGCACTTTTAGTACCCTGTTCCCTCTATTTAAACTTGATTGTGCTTGGTTCTAACTTACATATATCTAACTCTTCTTACTTTTCTTAAGTCTCCCACAAAGCATGAAGACACCAAAAACCTAGACACTGAGCTAAGTGAACTCTCAGAAGGCTATACACCGAATGGGTACTTCATGCAGAAAAGGATTTTAAGCAGAATCAGACCTAAAATTGAACAAACTGATGGTTGCCAGGGGAGAAGCAGGGATGGGCAAGAGAGGTAAAAGGGAGCGGAAGATACAGGCTTCCAGTTATGGAATGAGTAAGTCACAGGAATAAAAGGCACAGTATAGGGCACCTGTGTTTCTCAGTCAGTTAAGCATTTGACTCTTGATTTCAGCTCATGTCATATTCTCAGGGTCATGAGGTCAAGCCCCACATAAGGGCTCTGTGCAGAGCCTGCTTGGGATTCTCTCCCTATGCCCCACCCACTTGCTCTCTCTTTCTTCCTATCTCTCTCTCTTCCTCTCTCTTTTCTTAAAAAGAAAAAGGTACAGCATAAGAAATATTATCAGTGATACTATGATAGCATTGTACAGTGACAGATGGTAGCTACACTTGCAGTGAGCATAGCATAGTGTATGAACTTGCTGAATCACCATATTGTACATCTGGAACTAAGGTAACATTGTGTCAACTGTACTTGAATTTTTAAAAAGCTTTTTATAAAGAAAAGGACTGTTTAAAGGCCCTACGCAAAGAGAGAACTGGCCCACAATGTGTGTTGACCTCGAGGACCCATCTAGTCCTGTCAAAATTTGTTACAGGTGGCTAATCCAGGACAAGAGGAAATTTTGGACAATGTTCTCACCCAAGAAACATTGGAATCGTTGAAGCAGAACCATTTTCCATCCACAGAATTCTGGATATAGGCACAGTAATGACCAAAGTCAGCTGCCCCCACATGGGCAATCACAGCAAAGAGCTCATACTGTCTTCCAAGCTGGAAGGACATAAGGTACAAAATTATTCACCCATCATGCTTCCTTTTCTAACTGTAGTCTAGAATAAAGAAACATTATTTCATCACATTGTGGGCACTAGTACTTCAAGGGGGCTAGAAAATAGTCTTTGAACTAAAAAATCTCACGATTAATTAAGCCACAATTATAATGCCATGCACCAAAAAAGGAGAAGAAATAATCATCTGAGAAAAGCTCCCCAGAGAAGACATGCTTGAATTGATCTTGAAGGATAAACAAGACTAGCAGACAAGTTCTAAGTAGGGGATATCCTCAAATAGGCCCCAAAATTCCAAAGACTTGGCAGCACAGCACAACAGAGCATGTTGAGGAAATGGGAGGCATGGAGGGTGCTGGGAAGTCACAAGATATGTGGTTACAAAGGTCAAGGCAAGAATTAGAACTTTAGGGGCACCTAGGTGGCTCAGTTGGTTAAGTGTCTGTCTTTGGTTTAGGTCATGATCCAGGGGTCCTGGGATCGAGCCCTGTGTCAGGCTCCCTGCTCAGTGGGAAGCCTGCTTCTCTCTCTGCCCCTCCCCCTGCTCGAGCTTTCTCTCTCTCGCTCATGTAAATAAATAAAATCTTTTTTAAAAAAAGAATTAAAATTTTATTTTTTTTATACTTTAGAGTTTTTATTTAAATTCCGGTTAGTCACACAGAAAGGATATGGTGAAGAAACAGTAAATAAAGCCTAAGCCAAGCAGGAGAAGAGAAATAATATAGAGCAGAAATCAGTGAAATAGAAACTAGAAGAGCAGAACAGATCAATTAAACTAGAAGCTGATTCTATGAAAGAATTAAGAAAATTGATAAATGTCAGGCCAGACTTAATCTAAAGAAAAGAGAAAGGACCCAAGTTAATAAAATCATGAATGAAAGGTGAGAAATAATGACCAATACCAAGGAAATAGAGAAAATTATTAGACTTATTATCAGCAGTTATATGCCAACAAACTAGGCAATCTGGAAGGAATGGATGCATTCCTGGAAACTTATAAACTACCAAGAGTGAAACAGGAAGACATAGACAATCTAAACAGACCAATAACCAGCAAGGAAATTGAAATAGTAATCAAAAACCTCCCAAAAAGTGAGAGTCCAGAGCCAAATGGATTCCCAGGGGAATTCTACCAAACATTTAAAGAAGAAATCATACCTATTCTCGTGAAGCTGTTCCAAAAAAATAGAAATGGGAAGAAAACTTCCAAACTTCCTCTATGAGGTCTGTATTACCCTGATCCCAAAACCAGACAAAGACCCCATCAAAAAAGAGAATTATAGACCAATATCCCTGATGAACATGGATGCAAAAACAGTGAAGATTGAGCCAATAGGATCCAACAGCACATGAAAAGGATTATTCACCATGATCTGGTGGGATTTATTCCTGGCATGCAAGGGTGGTTCAACATTCACAAATCAATCAATGTGATAGATCATATTAACAAAAGAAGAGACAAGAACCATATTACCCTCTCCACTGATGCAGAAAACACATTTCACAAAATACAACATCATTTCCCGATGAAACCTCTTAAAAATGCAGGGATAGAGGGAACATACCTCAACATCATAAAGCCATCTATGAAAAGCCCACTGCACACATCATTCTCAATGGAGAAAAACCTGAAACCTTTTCCCTTAAGGTCAGAAACATGACAGGGAGGGCCACTGTCACCACTTTTGTTCAACACAGTACTATAAGTCCTAGCCTCAGCAATCAGATAATAAAAAGAAATAAAAGGCACTCAAATTGGCAAAGAAGTCAAACTCTCTCTCTTCAGAGATGACATGATACTTTTTGTGGAAAATCAAAAAAACTCCACCCCTAAATTACTAGAACTAATACAGCAATTCAGCAATGTGGCAGTATACAAACCTATTGCACGGAAATCAACTGCATTTATATACACTAACAAAGTGAATGAACAAAAGAGGAATTAGGGAATTGATTCCATTTACAATAGCACCCAAAACCATAAGATACCTGGGAATACATCTAACCAAGGAGGTAAAGGATCTAAATTCTAGAAACTACCAAATACTTATGAAAGAAATTGAGCAAGACACAAAGAGTTGGAAAAATAGTCCATGCTCCTGGATTGGAAAAATAAACATTGTGAAAAGGTCTGTGCTACCTAGAACAATCTACACTTTCAGGGTATTTCCTATTAAAATACCATTGACATTTTTCACAGAGCAGGAACAAATAATTCTTAAATCTGTATGGAACCAGAAAAGACCCCGAATTCCCAGAGAAATGTTGAAAAAGAAAGCCAAAGCTAGTGGCATCACGATGACCGACTTCAAGCAGTCTTACAAAGCTGATATACAAGACAGCATGGTATGGGCACAAAAACAAGCAAATAGATCAATGGCACAGAATAGAGATCCCAGAAATGGACCCTCATCTCTATAATCAACTAATCTTCAACAAAGCAGGAAAGAATATCCAATGGAAAAAAAGACAGTCTCTTCCATAAATGGTGCCAGGAACATTGGACAGTCACATGCAGAAGAATGAAACTGGACCATTCTCTTACACCATATGCAAAGATGAGCTCAAGGTGGAAGGAAGACCTAATTTGAGACAGGAATCCATTAAAATCCTAGAGGAGAACACAGGCAGCAACCTCTTTGACCTTGGCTGCAGCCAACTTCTTCTGCAACTTCTTGCAGACACATCCCCAGAGGCAAGGAAAACAAAGCCAAAAATGAATTTTGGGGACTTCATCAAGATAAAAATCTTCTGCACCGTAAAGGAAACAGTCAACAAAACTAAGAGGCAATTCAGGAATGGGAGAAGATATTTGAAAATGACATAAATATTTGCAAATGACATGAAGGGCTGGTATCCAAGATCTATAAAGAACTTCTCAAACTCAACACCCAAAAAAACAAATAACCCAGTCACAAATAGACAAAGACATGAACATACGTTTCTCCAAAGAAGGCATACAAATGGCTAACAGAAACATGAAAGTGTTCAACATCACTAGCCATCAGGGAAATACAAATCTAAACTACACTGAGATATCACTTTACACCAGATAGACTGGAAAAAATCAACAAGACAGGAAAAAAGTGTGGGAAAGGATGTGGAGAAAGGGGGACCCTTTTACACTGTTGATGAGAATGCATGCTTAGTACAGCCACTCTGGAAAACAGTATAGAGATTCCTCAAGATGTTAAAAATAGAGCTACCCTATGACCCAGCAATTGAACTACTAGGTATTTACCCCAAAGATACAGACATAGTGAAAAGAAGGGGCACATGCACCCCAATGTTCATAGCAGCAATGTCCACAATAGCCAAACTGTGAAAGGAGCTGAGATGCCCTTCAACAGATGAATGGATAAAGATGATGTATTTCATATATACAATGGAATATTACTCAGCCATCAGAAAGGATGATACCCCCTATTGGCATTGACATGGATGGAGCTGGAGGGGATTATATTAAGTGAAATAAGTCAAGCAGAGAAAGAAAATTATCTTATGGTTTCATTCATAAGTGGAACATAAGGAATAGCATGGAGGACCACAGGGGAAGAAAGGGGAAACTGAATGGGAAGAAATCAGAGAAGGAGACAAACCATGAGAGACTCTGGATGCCAGGAACCAACTGAGATTACAGAAGGGAAGGGCTTGGGGATTGAGTAACCCAGTGATGGGTACTAAGGAGGGCACATATTGCATGGGTCTTATATGTAAACAATGAATCTTGGAACACTACATCAAAAACTAATTACGTACAGTATGGTGGCTAACATAACATAATAAAAATAATAATAAAAAATTTAAAAATAAAAAAAGGGAAAAAACCACCGTGAGTTTTGACACGGGGAAAAAATAATTTTTTTCAAAAATAATTGGTTATGAAGTGCCTGGGTGGCTCAGTTGGTTGAATGCCTGACTAGTGATTTTGGCTCAGGTTATGATCTCAGGGTCTTGAAAGAACCCCACGTCCTTCTCTGTGCTCAGCAGGGAGTCTGCTTGAGATTCTCTCTCCCTCTTCCCTTCCCTCTGCTCATGCGGTCTCTCTCTCTCTCTCTCTCTTCCTCCCTCAAATAAATAAATAAATAGATAAAATTTTAAAAAGCAAACAAATCTAAATATTGGCTGGGCATGAATGATATTATGAAATTATGAGATGCACTGTTGGTGGGAGTGAAAACTGTTATAGCCACTGTGGAAAACAGTATGGAGATTCCCCCAAAAAGTTAAAAATGGAGCTACTCTACAATCCAATAATCACATTACTGGGTATTCACCCAAAAAAATACAAAACACTAATTCAAAGTGGTATATGCCCCCTGATGATTATAGCAACATTATTTACAATAGCCAAGATATAGAAACAGCCCAAGTATCCATCAATTGATGAATGGATAAAGATGTGATATACACACACATACACACACAATGGAATAGTATTCAGCCATTAAAAGAATGAAATTTTGCCATTTGCAACAATATGGATAGAGCAAGAGAGTATAATGCTAAGTGAAATAAGTCAGTCAGAGAATGACAAATACCACATGATTTTACTCATATGAAACAAACTGAGGGTTTTAGAGAGGAGGGTGGGTGAGCCTGGTGGTGGGTATTAAGGAAGGGCACATATTGCATGGAGCACTGGGTGTGGTACGTAAACAATGAATTCTGGAACACTGAAAATAAATAAATAAATAAATAAATAAAATAAAATAATAAAAATGATATGTGGAATTTAAGAAACAAAACAAATGAACAAAGAAAAAAATAGGAAAGAGACAAACCAAGAAATAAACTCTTAACCATGGAGAACAAACATATGGTTTGGGTAGGTTGGTAGGTGGGTAGGTGGGAAACGGTTGAAAGAGGTGATGAGGATTAAGAATACCCTTATCAAAAAAATTTTTTTGAAGAGTACACTTGGGGCTCCTGGGTGGCTCAGTTGGTTAAGTGACTGCCTTCAGCTTGGGTTATGATCCCAAAGTCCTGGGATCGAGCCCCACATTGGGCTCCCTGTTCAGTGGGGAGTCTGCTTCTCCCTCTCCTGCTCCCCTGCTTGTGCTCTCTCTCTCTCTGTCAAATAAATAAAACCTTTAAAAAAAGAGTACACTTATCACCATGAGCACTGAGTAATGTATAGAATTGTTAAATCACTATATCATACACCTGGATTTTATATATATATATAAAATATATATATTGTGTAATTATATGTATAATATATAATATAATACTGTATGGTAACTATACTGGAATTAAAATTTAAAATTTTAAATGATAAAAAAGAAATTATGAGATAGAATTGGTTACATCTAGAGAAAGAGAGCTTAGTCTTTAGAAAGACGTAATGAAATACTTCAAATAAAAGGGCAGAGTCTGGGACTTGCTTCAGAATAATCCAGTAGGGGGTTGGAGAAAGAAGAGGGTGAGGATGTTGGTAAAGCTAGATTGGTCATGGGTTTTGATAACGTTTAAACTGCTTGATGGACATGGGAAATCGCTGTGTAATTCTTTGCTATTTTGGTATATATTCAAGATTTTCAATCACAATGTCTTTTTAAGTGGAAAAAAAAATTTTATTTAAATTCAGTTAGCTGGGGCACCTGGGTGGCTCACTCATTAAGCACTTGCCTTCAGCTCAGGTCATAGTCCCAGATCCTGGGATTGAGCCCCCTATCGGGCTGCCTGCTCAGCAGGAAGCCTGCTTCTCCCTCTTGCACTCTGCCTGCTTATGTTCCCTCTCTTTCTGTGTCTCTCTCTGTCAGATAAATGGATAAAATCTTTTTAATTAATTAATTTAATTACCCAAGGTGTATTACATCATTAGTTTTTGATAGAACGTTTGATGATTCATTAGTTGAAAATTTTAAGATGTTATTTCATCTGTTTTGTTTCTTATTAAATGCCACATACAAGTGAAATCATAAGGCATTGTCTTTCCCTGACTTATTTTGCTTAGCATAATACCCTCTAGTTCCTTCCAGATGAACATACAGGAAAGGAAAGAAAAATAAAATAAGATGAAATTAGGGAGCCAACCATAAGAGACACTTAATTCCAGGAAACAAATGGAGGGTTGCTGGAGGGGAGGTGGGTTGGAGGAAGGGGTAATTGGGTGGTGGGCATTAAGGAGGGCACTTGATGTAATGCACACTGGGAGTTATATGCAACTTACCAATTACTAAATTCTACCCCTGAAACTAATAATACAGTATACGTAAACTACATTGTATTTAAATAATTTTCTGGAAAGATATTTCATTATGATATACTTCATAGTATACAAATAGAAATAAGGAAAACTCAAAGAACAGAAAATGAGAATCTTTGAAACATATATGCACTAAATAGGTAAAGAAACCATGTTATATAGGAGCTATTATATTATTAGGCCTCAGTTTTTATTTTTTATTTTTTCAATTTAAATTTCTCATTGTGTTCAGTTAGCCAATATATAGCACATCATTAGTTTCTGGTATAGTGAATTTTTTTTAATTTAAATTGATAGATATATCTCTCTCTCTTCCTTATCTATTCATCTGTCAATGGAATCTCAGCTCTTTCCATAGTTTGGCTATTGTGGACATTGTTGCTATAAACATTGGGGTGCAAATGCCCCTTCAGATCATGATGTTTGTGTCCTTTGGGTAAATACCTAATAGTGCAATTGCTGGGCCGTAGGGTGGCTCTGTTTTTAACTTTTTGGGGAACCTCCATACTGTTCTCCAGAGTGCCTGTACCAGCTTGCATTCCCACCAACCCTTCCTCCACATCCTCACTAACATCTGTTGTTTCCGACTTGTTCATTTTAACCATTCTGACTGGTATGAGCTGGTATCTCATTGAGGTTTTGATTTGTATTTCCCTGATGCTGAGTGATGTGGAACATTTTTTTCATGTGTCTGTTGTAGGCCTCATTTTTAAGATACCAGTTTCTACAGCATGAATAGTAAAGAGCATGAAAAAAAACAGTCCATATATATACACTATATGTATATATAATTCTATATTGCTACATAGATATGTAGCAATATAGAATTGACTATATGTAACATTTCAAACCTAAAAAAAAGATATTTATATTTTTTCTCAGAATTTCCCAGTAAGTTATTAGCTCAGGAAAATTGAATTCAACTTTACTCTGATTAAATTTGGCCGAATGAACTGGCTCTTTTGTTACTATCCTCAAAGTGGGTATAAGCTGTTTTAAAAAGAAAGGTTGGTATTATGTTTAGAACCCAAGATCTTGTGTTTACTTATGTATATATGTATTATCTACTTCATTTAGGAGAAGGCCCTGAATTATGGGTTCCTCCCCTTCTTTACTGCTGTGAGGGTTATGAACAAAGTCCAATACTTAGAAATAATTGGAGTGGGGAGATGAACCATGAAAGACTGTGGATTCTGAGAAACAAACTGAGGGTTTTTGAGGGGGTGGTGAACATGGTGGTGGGTATTAAGGAGGGCACGTATTGCATAGAGCACTGGATGTGATGCATAAACAATGAATCTTGGAACACTGAAAAAATAAAATACAGTTTTAAAAAAAAGAAATAATGTTTTGAGTCTTTTTTATTTAAATTCAATTAATTAACATATAATATTAGTTTCAGAGGTAGAGTTCAGTGATTCTTCAGTTGTATATAACACTTAGTGCTCATTACATCACATGCCCTCTTTAATGCCCATCACCCTGTCACCTCATCCCCTCACCACCTCCCACCCTCCACCAACCCTCAGTTTATTTCCTGTGGTTAAGAGTCATTTATGGTTTGTTTCCCTCTGATTATGTCTTGTTTTATTTTTCCCTCCCTTCCCCTATGTTCACCTGTTTTGTTTCTTAACTCCACATGTGAGTGAAATTATATAATTGTCTTTCTCTGACTTATTTCACTTACTATAATACCCACTAGTTCCATCCATATTGTTGCAAATGGTAAAATTTCATATTTTTTTATGGCCGAGTAATATAGCATTGTATATATGTTCCACATCTTCTTTATCCATTCATCTGGCACCAGCACCCCAATGTTTATAGCAGAAATGTCCATAATAGCCAAACTAGGGAAAGAACTCAGATGTCCATTGACAGAAGTATTTTGAATCTTATAAGAAAAGCAACCACATACAGCAAATGTTGGTGATAGTAGTATGGTAATAACAAGCCATCATTTTTTAATTTAAGAACACATAGGTTTTCATCATTAAAATACTGTTTTAAAAAAATAAATATTTCTTGAACATATGAATGTGTTTCTATGAATCACACCAAGCAGCTGCTGGTGAGTTTTCCTCCCTTTGTGTGCCCCAAGCATGTCCAACATAGGCTGTGATTTATGAGATGCTATAATGGCAAGGATGAGATGACCAAAAGTGCTATGTCTGTTGAGTGCATGACTTTAAGCATCTTAGGGGAAGGGAAGCAAAATCAAGCAGACAAGGGGTCTGAAGAGATGGAGGATGGAAGGGCATTAAGGAGCTTCTCACCTGTTCCTCAGCATTACAGAGGCCTTCTTCAATCACAAGGACCTGACTTAAATCCAAGGTCTGGGGGAAATAGAGTGAGTGGCAAATCTTTTCTGTCTGAGAATTCCTGATGGAGAACCGCAAGAGGTGGATTGTCAAGGTCTGGGGCAAATGGGTCAGCTTCAAGACCTGAAAAAGCAAAATTACTATGGAGATGAAGTCCTAAGGCACATTTCTTGAAATGGGTAGATTTAGAGAAATACCAGGGCCGATGGTGTGTTTTTCTTCTCCAAAATGTATCAGAATGATATAATACAGAATTAAGGGCTCCCATCTGCTGAATCTGTTGAGCTCTTCACAGAAATCATGAGCAGCCATAGGGTTCTGCACAAGAACCAGGAACCACAGGAACTAGAGTCTGCTCTAGAGAGCTAGTCTAACTCTGCATGGAAAACTGCCTGCTGCTTTTGGACTTTGTCTTATCTTTTTTTTTTTTTTAAGATTTTATTTATTTATTTTGTCAGAGAGAGAGAGGGCACACAAGCAGGGGGAGCAGCAGGCAAAGAGAGATCTGAGCAGGGGGCATGGCAGGCAAAGGAGAAGAAGACTCCCCAACGAGCAAGAAGCCCAAAGCAGGACTCAATCCCAGGACCCTGGGATCATGACCAGAGCTGAAGGCAGATGCTTAACCAACGGAGCCACCCAGGCATCCCTTCTCTTATCTTTTAAAAGGCTCTGCCCCTCTCAGTGATGGGCATCTGAAAATCAGGATCCCCAGATCCCAGATACTAGCCAGAATATAGATTACCTCCCTCAACCAACACATGGTACCCTTTATGAAATCTCTATCAGAAAATCCACTAAAGGCAACTCCAAACTATGGCAGCATCTGGTTTCAAAGAGTGAGTACCTGTTTCCCACAAGTCTTTTTCCCACATTTCTCACAGAAACATTTGCTTTTGCCTGATAATTCCCTGGGTTGGAAGAAACATCGAAGGGCATCCTCCTGTTTCAGAAGATCAAAGAAAAATCAGAGTTAGTATTTACCACCCTACAGATGAGGATAAAAGTTTTTCTTCTGGTTCTCTCTGTGTCCTCCCCCCTGGCCCAGTGTGGTGCATGTGGCAGGATCTCCAAAAGGACCTAGTGACTGGATTGATAAATAAGAGGGAGCACTTGTTAAGGTAGCAGTGTGAGGAAAGAAAGTAAAAGGAAACAAAATTTTTTTCACCAAATCAAAGGAGAAACAGAACTGTGCAAAAGAAATAGAAATTACTTTTTAAAAGGCAATGGTGGATTAAAGAAGTAAGGGCACACTGGCAGCACCGGGTTTATGGGAACAGAAAATTCACCAAAAGAAATCCTTTACCAGTGTTTTCAGGGGTTTTGAGTCCATATCAAAAAGAGGAAGGGGGAGGGTCAACATGCTACTGTTTCTGCTCCTTTCCACAGTACATTCAAGGCAAACCAAGGACTCCTTCACCCGGATTGTATACAGGGCCTGCAGCCTCTCTACCTATAAGAGAGAGAAGGTGAGAGGAAAGAAGGGTACAAAGTCATAAACAAAACAAGTCAAGTCAATTTCCAGAAATTGTAGCCATCAAACAGAAGCTCCAAAAATGGTAGTCACTGATGCTCTTTGCTCTTCAAAAAGGTGCAAAATAATAACAGTAATAATATTATGGAATTGTGATAAGCATCATACATGGATTTCTCTTTTAATCCTCTCTATACATTATATTGATTGCTGGATGAGCTAAATGAGCAGCATCTTAAACTTCTGAGTTCTCTGGTTCTAGGATCTCACCAGGTCCACATCTGTGATTTGGTCCTTAATTAGGTTCCAGACTGTGAGGTAGAGTTGAGCAGCATCATGCTGGACAAACACTGGACAAAGAGAAAAGTAACAGCCCAGTCAGTGAGGTCACCAAGGGACAATTCTCATGCATGCCCTTGTGCCCTAGCTACCTACATGTACATGAACATTCACCATTTTGTCCTCTCCCAGCCCTCAACATCACCACCAACCCCCACTTTAGTTAGGCATTAAAAATGAAAAATAAGAGAATTAAAGAGGGCAGGTGATATAATGAGCACTGGGTGTTATAGTGAATTAATGAATCATTGAATATTATATCAAACCAAATGATGTACTATACTTGGCTAATTTAATATAAATGAAAAAATAATAAAAAAGAGAAATTGCAAATTAAAATAATGAGATACTGCTACAAACTTATCAGAATGGCCAAAATGTAAAACACCAACATAGTACTAGAAGGCCTAGCCTCATTTTTCAGACAACAGAAAGAAATAAAAAACATTCAAATTGGCAAAGAAGAACTAAAACATATTCATCAGGGATATTGGTCTGAGATTCTCCTTTTCGATGGGGTCTTTGCCTGGGTGGGGATTGGGTAATGCTGGCTTCATAAAAAGAGTCTGGAAGTTTTCCTTCATGAAAAAAAATGTTCAGCACCATTAGCCATCAGGGAAATTCAAATCAAAACCACATTGAGATACCACCTTACACCAGTTAGAATAGCTGAAATTAACAAGACAAGAAACAACAAGTGCTGGAAAGGATGTGGAGAAAGGGAAACCCTCTTACACTGTTGGTGGGAATGCAAGTTGGTGCAACCACTTTGGAAAACAGTGTGGAGATTCCTTAAGAAATTAAATATAGCGCTACCATATGACCCTGCAATTACACTACTGGGTATTTACCACAAAGATACAGATGTAGTGAAAAGAAGAGCCATCTGTACCCCAGTGATCACAGCAGCAATGACCAGTCACCAAACTGTGGAAAAAACCAAGATGCCCTTCAACAGATGAGTGGATAAAGAAGATATGGTCCGTATATACAAAGGAATATTACGCCTCCATCAGAAAGGATGAATACCCAACTTTTGTATCAACATGGATGGGACAGGAAGAGATTATGCTGAGTGAAATAAGCAGAGAAAGTCAATTATCATATGGTTTCACTTACTTGTGGAGCATAGAGAATAACATGGAGGACATTAGAAGAAGGAAAGGAAAAATGAACTGGGAGAAATGGAAGGGGGAGATGAACCATGAGAGTACTGTGGACGCTGAGAAACAAACTGAGGGTTTGGGAAGGGAGGGGGTGGGGAGATGGGTGAGCCGGGTGGTGGGTATTAAAAGAGGGCACATATTGCATGGAGCACTGGGTGTGGGGTATAAACAATGAATCTTGGAACACTGAAAAAATAAAATAAAGTTTTTTAAAAAGTGACAAAATCATAAAACACCTAAGAACAAAAAAAAAAAGAAAGAAAGAAAATGGAGGAGTATAGAGGGAGGGAGGGGAAAATATAACAAGATTAAGTCAGAAAGGGAGATAAACCATAAAAGAGTCTTAACTAGAGGAAACACCTGAGGGTTGTTGGAAGAGAAGGGGTGGAAATGTCCAATATAATGAGCATTGGATGCTATACACAACTGATGAGTCTGCTTTTGAAACTAATAATACACTATATGTTAATTAATTGAATGTAAATAAAATTTTAAAAAATAAAGAAATAGTGGCTGAGACTTCCCAAATCTAGGGAGAGATTTAGACATCAAAGTTCATGAAGCTCTTAGGTCCCCAGACACATTCAACTCAAACAGATATTCTCCAAGACACATCAATAGCAAAACTTTTAAAAATCAGTGACAAGCAACTAATGAATCATTGAATACTACATCAAAAATTAATGATGTACTTACTATATGTTGGCTAATTGAACTTAATAAAAAATCAATGACAAGGATTAAAATCATTATGAGAAAGGGACCTTATCACTTACAAGGGAAGCTCCCATAAGGCTATCATTGGAATTTTTAGCACAAACCTTACATGTCAAGAGACAGTGGAATGACATATTCAAAGTGATAAAAGGAAAACACTGCCAGTCAAGAAAACTTTACTTTAGAAATGAGAGAGAGATAAAGACTTACCCAAACAAACGCTGAGGGAGTTCATTACCACTACACTTGCCTTACAAGAAATTGCTAAAGGGAGCTCAGTTTAACCCAAAGAAAGGACCTTAACTCTAAAAAGGAAAATGACTGAATAAGTCATTTTGAAACTTCTTACAAAGAAAAGCGTAGGTCCAGAATTGGCTTAATTCTACCAAACACCTAAAGAACTAATACCTATACCTTCGCAAATGCTTCCAAAACAAAGAAGAGGAGGTAACAGCAGCTGACTCATTCATTGAGGCATTCCCCCTCCTTCCCCTTCCTAACTTCTTCCCCCTCCCTCTCTTTCAGAGCTGAGAAGGCTATCTTACTTGGAACATTGTACTTCTGGAGACAGCAGGCAAGCTCCATAGGTTGCACTGCTTTCTGCCGGCTGTCCTGCATCTTCTCCAGTAGTAAGAGCAACTGGAAAGGGACACTTCTCCTCTGCTCTTCTGTTCCCCTTGGTACTGTTATCCTGCCAAATAAGAACATCCATGAACCTCTTTATCCCCACAGTTCCCAATGCTAGATGCATACTGGAATCACTTGAGGGAATTTCCAAAACTCTCCATGTCCAGGCCACTTGGGAGACTAACAAAATCAGAATTTTTTTTAGTCAGAATTTCTGATGGTGGGGCCCAGTTATCAGAATTTTTGTTTCCCAGATGATTTAAATATATACAAGGTTGAGAAGCACCAAATTAGCTAACTGGCTATGGAGAGTATCTTTTCAAGGAGAGGATAAGACAACTCTTGCCTTACCCCTCTCCCAACTCTGCCCAATAATCACACTTAAATGAAGGGCAAATGAAGAGAGTCCTGGGTCCACATCAATGTGGCAATACAGCAAAATGTCCAGGCTGAAGTACTCCAAAGTGAAAAGGCAAATACCAATTTAGGTCCTGGCAATAAAGGACATGAGGGAATGTCAGGGTTTTTTTTAAATAACTTATTTAATTATAGGCATCTCTCACTGCCCAAGCCAATAGAAGGAGGAACACAACTAGTCCCAGGAACACAACTAGAGAACTATCAAGTAGACCTGAAGACAGAACAAACTCCACAACTAAAGGGAAAGAAGAGGCCACATCAAAGAATGTAGAAAGTGCAGAGGTGTGGTTTAGGGGAGAAAAAGACTGCAGGTGCTGCAGAGGGAAGGGAGCCATGGTCATGGAGAAGGGGAAGAAAGAAAGGAGTACACAGGAGAACACACAAGGAGAACATTTCCCCAAAGCCATTGGTTTAGAAAATGATAGGGGTAAAATTTCATGAGTTCTTGCAATCAGCATCTGGAACCACAGCCAGAGATCAGAGGGCCAGAGCCGAGATCAGAGGGCTTGACTGAGATAGAGCCTAGAGGTCACTGTGCTGTTCATGGAGAGAAGACAGGAAACAACCTGAGGGGCAGACAGCATGGAAACAGGGATTTAAAGCACGCCTGGGGCACACAACGGGGAGATTATTTGCTCCTCTCAGAGCACATTCCTGAGAGGAAGCATGTACAGGGACATCACTCAGGAATAAAAGAGCCAGGTGGCACCATTTCCCTCCCCCACCCTTCAGCATGAACACAGAGCCACCTGTGGGAAGCAGGTGTATCAACACTGGCTGCCTAACTTATCTACACCAAGACCCATACCTCTGAGCTCCAGTAAAACAACCCTTCTCAGTCATGCTTCTCTAAGTCTCAGAGTGGTGAGCCCCTCCCCCAGAAGACCAGCACAAACCCCTGCCCATAGCACACCTCCCAACCAGAGAGTCCTGCAGGACCTCAGTTGTGGAGGAGGTGGTGACAGGTCTCATTTCACAAGCAAACCAGGGCACATCTAGTTAAAGCTCACCACCTAGTTAAAATTCAGGCCAGAGATAAAAAAACACTGATCACAGCAGGCAAGGAGAGCTTCTTTAAATGACTGGCCTGAAGGATAGGGCAACCAAAACAACAACAGAGCACATACAGCACACACAGGAGACACTCCCTGAAGCAGCAGGCCCTGAACATTACGGGACCTCTCTTTATTAGTTCATTACTTTCAGGAAGAGGAGACACAACTGACTTTTCTAACACAGAGAAGCAGGCAGAGACTTAGACACAACAGGAAGACACAGGAATTTATCCCAATGAAAGCACAAGGTAAGGCCATAGCTAGAGATCTGAATGAAACAGATACAAGTAACATGCCTGAGGGAAAACTTAAAGCAATGATCATAAGGATACTCATTGGGCTTGAGAAAAGAATGAAAGACATCAGTGAGACCCTTATCACAGAGATAAAAGAGTTAAAGAAAAAAACAAAGATGAAGAGTGCAATAAATGAAATTAGAAACCTGCCTGATGCAATGAACAGCAGACTGGAAGAACCAGAGGAATGAATTAATGACTTAGAAAACAAAGTAGTGGAAAGCAATGAAGCTGAACAAAAGAAAGAAAAAAGAATTATGTAACATGAGAATAGACTTACAGAACTCAGGAACTGAGTTATTAGTGTAATAACATTTGTTTTATAGGAGTCCCAGAAGAAGAGGGAGAACAGGGGACAGAAAATTTATTTAAGAATAAAATAGCTATAAGAGTTTCTAGGACAAACAAAAACTAAAAGAATTTGTGAACATTAAACCAGCCCTACAAGAATTATCAAAGGGTATCCCTTGAGTGAACAGAGAGCCCAAAAGTAACAAAAACTGGAAAGGAACAGAGACAATCTACACAAACAGCAACTGTACAGGTAATACAATGGCACTCACTTCATACCTTTCAATAATTACTCTGAATATAAATGGACTAAATGCTCCAATAAAAATACAGGGTATCAGGAAGGATAGAAACACAAGACCCATCAATAAGCTGCTTACAGGACACTGACTTTAGGTCCAAAGACACCTCCAGATTGAAAGTGAAGGAGTGGAGAAAAATTTATCATGCCAATGGACACCCAAACAAAGCTGGAGTAGCCATCCTTGTATCAGACAAACTATTTTAAACCAAAGACTGTAATAAGCGATGAAGAAAGACAGTCTATCATAATAAAATATCAACCTCAATGGAGAAAACCTGACAGCTTTTCCCCTAAGGTCATGAACAGGACAGAGACAGAACACTCTCATCACTGCTGTTCAACATAGTACCAGAAGTCCTAGCCTCAGCAATCAGGCAACAAAAAGAAATAAAAGGCATCCAAATAGGAAAAGAAGTGTGTGTGATATAATGGAATATTACTTTGCCATAAAAAAGAATGAATTCTTGCCATTTGCAACAACACAGATAGAGGAAGTAATAATATGCTAAATGAAAATAAGTCAGTCAGAGAAAGACAAATACCATATGATTGCACTAATTTATGGAATTTAAAAAACAAAAAAAATGAGCATGGGGTAAAAAGAAAGAGAGGGGTCAACTAAGAAGCAGACTCTTAACTACAGAGAACAAAATGCTGGTTACTAGAAGGGAGGTGGGTAGGGGGATGGGTGAAATATATGACGCGGATTAAGGAGGGCACTTGTGGTGTGCACCAAGTGATGTAGGGAAGTGTTCAATCACTATATTGAACCCCTGAAACTAATATTACATGGTGTGTTAACTAATTGGCATTTAAATTAAAAACTTAGGGGCGCCTGGGTGGCTCAGTGGGTTAAAGCCTCTGCCTTCCGCTCAGGTCATGATCCTGGGGCCCAGGGATCAAGCCCTGCATCGGGCTCTCTGCTCAGCAGGGAGCCTGCTTCCTCCTCTCTCTATGCCTGCCTCTCTGCCTACTTGTGATCTCTGTCTGTCAAATAAATAAATAAAAACATTTTAAAAATTAATTAATTAATTAATTAATTAAAAACTTAAAAAAATAATCTAGTGGCAAGAAAAAACTTACTAAAAATAATTTAATCAATTAATAAGTAAATCAACATTTTTTAAAAAGAATGTGTGATGAAGTATGTACATGTATAAACATATATACACACATATATACACTGTGTGTGTGTGTGTGTGTGTGTGTGTGTTCTGTTTGAGAGAAATCAATGGAGAGATGCAGGGGCCTACTTGTTGATTTATTCCTTCTCTGAAATTTCTGATATTGATCTAGTCCCAACACTGTTTTAACCAAATCAGTGGCTGTCAAACCTGGCTGTAGTTTCAAATCACCTGGGGAGTCTTTAAAAGTACCAGTGCCCATACGTGGAATTTAAGAAACAAAACAGGGGCATCACGTTGCCTGATTTCAAGCTTTATTACAAAGCTGTGATCACCAAGACAGCATGGTACTGGCACAAAAACAGATACACAGGCCAGTGGAATAGAGTAGAGAGTCTAGATATGGATCCGCAACTCTATGGTCAAATAATCTTTGACAAAGCAGGAAAAAATATCCAGTGGGGGGAAAAAAAAGACAGTCTCTTCAATAAATGGTGCTGGGAAAATTGGACAGCTATGTATAGAAGAATGAAAATCGACCATTCTCTTACACCTTACACAATAATGAACTTGAAATGGATAAAAGACCTCAACATGAGGCAGGATTCTATCAAAATCCTACAGGAGAACATAGGTAGTAACCTCTTTGAAATCAGACACAGCAACTTCTTTCAAGACACTTCTCCAAAGACAAAAGAAACAAAAGCGAAAATGAACTTTTGGGACTTCTTCAAGATAAAATCTTCTGCACAGCAAAGGAAACAGTCAACAAAACAAAGAGGCAACCAATGGAATGGGAGAAGATACTCACAAATGACACTACAGACAAAGGGCTGATATCCAAGATCTATAAAAAAATTCTCAAACTCAACACCCTAAAAACAGATAAACATATCAAAAATGGGCAGAAGACATGAACAGACACTTCTCTAAAGAAGATATACAAATGGCTAACGGACACATGAAAAAATGTTCATGATCATTAGCCATCAGGGAGACTCAAATCAAAACCATATTGAGATACCACCTTACACCAGTTAGAATGGCCAAAATTAATAAGACAAGAAACAAGTGTTGGCAAAGATGTGGAGAAAGGGGAACCCTCTTACAGTATTGGTGGGAATGCAAGTTGGTGTAGCCACTGTGGAAAACAGTGTGGAGATTTTTTAAGAAAGTAAAAATAGAACTACCCTATGACCCTGCAATTGCACTACCGGGTATTTACCCAAAGATACAGATGCAGCGAAAAGAAGGGCCATATATACCCCAATGTTCATAGCAGCAATGGCCACAATCACCAAACTGTGGAAAGAGCCAAGATGCCCTTCAACAGATGAATGGTTGAAGATGAGGTTCATATATACAATGGAATATTACACCTCCATCAGAAAAAATGAACATTCAACTTTTCTATCAACATGGATGGGACTGGAGGAGATTATGCTGAGTGAAATAAGTCAGGCAGAGAAATCAATTATCATATGGTTTCACTTACTTGTGGAACATAAGGAATAACACGGACAACATTAGGAGAAAAATAGGAAGAGTGAATTGGGGGAAATCGGAGGGGGAGATGAACCAGAAGAGACTGTGGACCCTGAGAAACAAACTGAGGGTTTTGGAAGGGAAGGGGGTGGCGAGATGGGTGAGTCTTGTGGCGGGTTTTAAGGAGGGCAGATATTTCATGCAGCACTGGGTGTGGTGCATAACCAATGAATCTTGGAACACTGAAAAAATAAAATGTAAAAAACAATAATAATGGCTAAAAGACACATGAAAAAATGTTCATCATCACTAGCCATCAGGGAGATTCAAATCAAAACCACATTGAGATACCACCTTACACCAGTTAGAATGACCAAAATTAACAAGACAGTAAACAACATGTGTTGGAGAGGATGTGGACAAACGGGAACCCTCTTACACTATTGGTGGGAATGCAAGTTGGTGCAGCCACTTTGGAAACCAGTGTGGAGATTCCTTAAGAAATTAAAAATAGAGCTTCCCTATGACCCTGCAATTGCACTACAGGGTATTTACCCCAAAGACACAGATGTAGTGAAAAGAAGGGCCATCTGTACCCTAATGTTCATAGCAGCAAAGGCCACAGTCGCCAAACTGTGGAAAGAACCAAGATGCCCTTCAATGGACGAATGGATAAAGATGTGGTGCATTTATACTATGGAGTATTATGCCTCCATCAGAAAGGATGAATACCCAACTTTTATATCAACATGGATGGGACTGGAAGAGATTATGCTGAGTGAAATAAGTCAAGCAGAGAAAGTCAACTATCATATGGTTTCACTTATTTGTGAAGCATAAGGAATAACATGGAGGACATGGGAAGATGGAGAGGAGAAGGGAGTTGGGGGAAATTGGAGGGGTATATGAACCATGAGAGAACTGTGGACTCTGAGGAACTAACTGAGGGTTTTGGAGGGGAGGAGGGTGGGAGATTGCATGAGCCTGGTGGTGGGTATTGTTGAGGGCACATATTGCACGGAGCACTGGGTGTAGTGCATAAACAATGAATTCTGGAACACTGAAAAGAAATTTAAAAAATAATAAGAGTAATTTAAATTAAAAAACAATAATAATAAAAAATAAAAATAAATTAAAAAAATAAAAGAAGCAAAACAGGTGAACATAGGGGGGAGGGAAGGAAAAATAAAATAAGACAAAATTGGAGAGGGAGACAAACCATAAGAGACTCTTAACTATAGGAAACAAACAGGTTTGTTGGAGGGGAGGTAGGTGGAGGGATTGGGTAACTGGGTGATGGGCATTAAAGGGGGCACTTGATGAAGTGAGCACTAGGTGTTATACGCAACTGATGAACCACAAAATTCTACCTCTGAAACTAGTAATAAACTATATGTTAATTAAATGGATTTTAAATTAAAAACAAAACAAAAAATTAATTAATTAAAGTAAAAAATAAAAGTACCAGTACCTGAACTGAAACCAAATATCTGGTGGTAGAAATAGGTATTCATATTTCTTTTTAAACTTCTTAGGTGGTTACAGAGTGTAGTCTAGATTGTTTAGAACAAGATCTTTTCTCTGGCAACCATTCAAAGAAGATTTTTTTAAAGTATAAGTCACTGTGAAAAATTGAACATATGAAAATGTAGAATAATATACATGTTAGTCTTACCTCTTCAATATCTTGATGAAGCCCACATTCATAATTAATACCTGAATCAGGGAGTTAAGACAGCAGGTCTGGCCAATGTTGTGTAAACCAACCAGGCCTATAGGGGGAAAAGAAAAAAACATACTGAGGACAAGGGCAAGCTAAGGGACTTAACAAAAATCAGATGGTTTTCTAAGATCTACCAAGGTCATGAAATCCTGCAAAATACTCTCAGAGGTACAAAGACTTCACAAAAGAGCTTGCAAACAAACTGGAGAGGAGAGATAAAGCATTCGATTCTGAAAAGCAAAATAGCAGTAAAACTTTTTTAAAGAAAGTCAAAGTGCTACCTGCAGTGCCTTATTTGGATGTCTGTGGAGTCTTGGAAGCTTGACTACCTTATGTTCTCCTACAAACAGACCTGGAGAGCTTGTTTGGAGGTTCTAGAAGGGGAGCACAGTGACTTGTATACCCTTGACAGAAAAACAGCCCTCCTGTATCGGGGAAAGTTGTCCTCTTTGGACTGAGCATGCAGCTTCAGGAGGGATGCATGTGGAGTGGTGAGGGAGGAAGGGGACACCTGCCTTGACATCCAGATCAGCCAAATCAACCCTGGAAATCAATGAGGTGACAGATCTCACAGCCAGATCATCCTCACATCCAGCAGTAAAACTTTTAATAATTCATTAGGAAAAGAGAGTTGTCACAAGAAACACTATTATAATTGACTTTCTCTGCTTGACTTATTTCATGCAGCATAATCTTCTCCAGTCCCGTCCATGTTGACAGAAAAGTTAGGCATTCATCCTTTCTGATGGCTACGTAATATTCCATTGTATATATGGACCACATCTTTATCCATTTGTCTGTTGAAAGGCATCTTAGCTCTTTCCACAGTTTGGTGATTGTAGACATTGCTACTATAAACATTAGTGTACATATGGCCCTTCTTTTCACTGCATCTGTATCTTTGGGGTAAATACCCATAGTGCAATTACAGGGTCATAAGGTAGCTCTATTTTTAATTTTTGAGGAATCTCTACACTGTTTTCCACAGTGGCTACACCAACTTGCATTCCCACCAGCAGTGTGGGACATAAGGAATTACATGGACGACATTAGGAGAAGGGAAGGAAAAGTGAATTGGGGGAAATTGGAGCGGGGGATGAACCACGAGAGACTGGGGACTCTGAGAAACAAACTGAGTGTTTTAGAGGGGAGGAGGTGGGGGTATGGGTGAGCCCGGTGGTAGGTATTAAGGAGTTCACGTATTGCATGGAGCACTGGGTGTGGTTCATAAACAACGAATCTTGGAACACTGAAAAAATAAAATAAAATTAAAAAAAAGAAACAGTATTATGTGATGTCAAATGAGTAGTACAAGCAATCGTTATAAGAGCAAAGACAAAGAAAGAAACACTACAGAAAGCATAACTGGGAGCATTTTGAGTTCTTCCCACTCAAGCTGTTCCCTATAGAGTTGAGTCAGAATGAGCATCTATGGAGCTTATAGATAAAAGTAATTTCCTAGCTAGTCTATTTCAGACTCCAGTGGAAAGGCTGAAAGAAATCAGGGGGGAAAAAAGTTCTGGGGGAAATTCACTAATCTAAACTCACTTCCAGAGGCCAGATGCCAAAAGGAACTTATGAAGATGTGAGAAAACCAAAAGACAGCATTTCTCTGATGTACTAGGAACCAACCTCTCTTTTCCCAACTCAACTTGGACACAGCTGACCGCACAAGGTGAGAAATTTAAGAGGGAGGGAATTCCACTAATCTCAGAGTTCCTGAGGAAGTAGTTTTGAGTATGTGATTAAGATGAAAAAAATCCAGGGACAGCAAGTAATCACAGATTTTGGCTCCTGAATCAGCAGAAAGAAGAACCTTGCCTCTAGATATCCTAGCACACAGGTGTAATAGTAAAGGCAAGAACTAATGCTGGCTGCTGTTATATGCCAAGCTATAACTCAAAGCACTTTCCACAGATTATCTCACTTACCCCTCCCAACAACCCTATGTGCTCAGTACTATGATTATTCCCATTCTACAGATGCAGAAATGGAGGCATACGAAATCAGGAGTCTTTAACCACAAAGATCTACTACTTCAGAGTATAGTGGGTGAGCAAAGCATTTCTATGCAATCAAAAAGAGAAAAATGTGAGGAATCTAATGACCATGGGGAGAGTCCCAGGCACTGAGGCGCTCCTTTAGTTGCTCCTTCTTCCTCTTCATGTTGTTCTCTTCCTTCTTCTCCATGGGTTCTGCTGAGAAATGCTGAGACTCAGCCAGGATGCACTGGCAAATTTCCTCAGGGACTCCAGCACCTGACTCATTAGCGATCACTCCAAAATCCCCAGGCCACTGGCTGCCCAGCCTGTCTTCAGGACTGCACACTCCAGGAAGAGCTCACATAAGTCAGCGTTGGTGGGAGTTCTGTGAAAACACACCACAAGTAGGTAAGGATAAGGGAAGAGGGAAAGCATATTCATGTGATCAGTTCTAATTCCAAAGAGACAAGCAGATGTGGATGGAACTCTAGTGTATTATGCTAAGTGAAATAAGTCAGAGAAGGACAAATACCATATGATCTCACTCATATGTGGAATTTAAGAAAGAAAGTAGATGAACATATGGGAAGGGGAAAAAGAGAAAAAGGAGAGAGGAAAACAAGCAATAAGTGACTCTTAAGGGAAGAGAACATACTGAGGGTTGATGGAGGGAGATTTGGGGGAGATGGGCTAGATGGGTGATGGGTGTTAAAGAAGGCACTTATCTGCAACGACATGGATGGAACTAGAGGGTATTATGATAACTAAAATAAGTCAATCAGAGAAAGACAAATACCCTATGTTTTCACTTATATGTGGAATTTAAGAAACAAAACAGATAAGGGAAGGAAAAATAAAATAAGATAGAAACAGAGAGAGGGGGGTGCCTGGGTGGCTCAGTCGGTTGGGCATCTGCCTTCAGCTCAGGTCATGATCCCAGGGTCCTGAGATCAGACCCCACATCTGGCTTCCTGTTCAGCAAGGAGCCTGCTTCTTCCTCTCCCTCTGCAGCTCCCCCTGATTGTTCTCTCTCTGGCAAATAACTAAATAAAATCTTAAATTTAAAAAAAAAAAACAGAAAGAGATGCAAACCTTAAGAGACTCTTAGCTATAGGAAACAAACAAGGTTGCTGGAGGGGAGGTGGATGGAGTGATGGGGTAACTGGGTGATGGACATTAAGAAGGGCACTTGATATAATGAGCACTAGGTGTAATACGCAACTGATGAATCACGACATTCTACCCCTGAACTAATAATACACTATATGTTAACTAAATGGAATTTAAATTAAAATTTTAGAAAGGGAGGGAATGAGGGGGAGAGGAAAAAAAGGCTGACTTGTGATGAGCACTGGGTTATATGTAAGTAAAGAATCACTGAATTCTACTCCAAAAACCAATACTGCACTGTCTGGTTTTTTTTAAACAGAGTGAGAGAGAGACCACAAGAGTGGGGTGAGGGGTAGAGGGAGAAGCAGGCCCCCCACAAGGAAGGAGCCTGATGCAGGGCTCAATCCCAGGACTCTGGGATCATGACCTGAGCTGAAGGCAGACACTTAACCAACTGAGTGACTGAGATGCCCCTACTGCACTGTATGTTAACTAACAAAATTAAAAAAAAAAAAACAGACAAGTCTTGGAAAGAAATGTTTGACTTATAAAGCTCTAGGGCTAGAAATGACAACTAGGCTAGATACTCCTTACCTTTGTCTCACATGTTTCCATTTTCTTCTTCAGAACAGACTGCCATATAACTCTTTCCCACAGGTTCTCTACTCTGACAAATAGCACAATATGAACCAAGGGGGTCCAGATCAGAAACCTGGGTGTCTCCTTTCTCCTCACTCCCTGGCCCAAACAATCATTGAGGACTGTCAACTCCACCACCTAAAGGCCGCTCACAAGCACTCTCCTTGCTATCTATACCCTTGACTTCCTGGGAAGCCTGTCCTGACTCCCCACATGAAGCCTACATGTTGTCTGTGTGTCCATACACCTTGTACTCAGAGCTAATCAAGTAATTGGTTCACTATATTCTATTGTGGGGAATAGCTATCTCTCCACTTGTAGTGGACAGTGATGCACCACTCACACTCTTCCTGCAGGACCAACATGATTTCTTAGGCTGAGGGGAACACAGCTTGACAGCTCCCCACTCAGTCCCTGTCCAATAATCTACCCTTGAAAAGAAGTTTATCCCTATACAATGACTGGACAATAGCAGGTATAAAATCTTACCACCTTGCCTCAAGATGAAATAGCTTTGAAGGGTCAGCCAGCCCCAGAGTTCCCCTTAAGAACAGCTGAAGCCTCTGCTGCAACTATTTGGCAGCCCTTCCCTCTGTCTTTCCCTGCTTTGCTCACGTCTCCCAGATGTTGTTCCCATGGGTACTCCCCAGTAATCTCCTGCATACCCATCTCAGAGTTTCAGCATCTGACCTGAGACCCTAAACTGTGAGCATCTGGAAGGCAGGGAGTGTGTATCTTCAACTGCTTCCTTTACACTTAGCACAGAGTTTTGTGAGCATTCAGTAAATAACCACTGAATGAATGAATGAACACATGAAAGAATAAGGACTTGTATGGAACAAAGAAATGTTTTCAAATACTTAAAAGGCTATCATGTGGAAGTGATATAATTAGACTTACTTAGATTTCTTGTCTTTGGGACATGAGGATGGAGGAGGTCAAACTACCTAAAATGTGAAAACTACTAAGAAATAGATTTAATTTCAAAATAAAGAAAGTCAACTCCAGCAGCAGTAATTTGTCAGTAAGCAGAAGCTGGGCTAGCCCTTGAAAGAGAGAGGACAGAAAGGAATTGAAGGGTGGGTGGCGTGTGAGATCTCTTGTTTGCCTTCCAAACCTGAAGCCTGTGATTCTTTCTAGTTATTCATTTTAATTCAAGTGGAAGCATTCAAATATGTCCCACTGAATTATGTATTCTGGAGAATTACCACGGCAGCTGGAAAGAGAAGTCACTGCTGTTCCTAGAGAAAACAGTTCCCTTGTACATACACAAATGCCCACCAAGGAAAGAAATATATGTATTTTTAAAGATATTCATTATAATTTTTAAGGTTGTTTTTCTCAAATAATGCTAACTTATGAAGAATAATTGTAAAATGTAGAAATACAAAATGAAGAAAACATTAATCACTCATTGTCCCAGGACCTAAGGATAACCACTACTTGGTATGTAACAATCTTTTTTCCTATAAATAAGCAAACAAACAAACATTTATTTATGTGTGTGTGTGTATTTCTTTTTTTGAGAGAGAGAGAGCGGGAGAAGAATAGGAGAGGGAGAGGGAATCCCCAAGCAGGCTCCACAGTTAATGCCAAGTTCCATTTAGGGCTCGGTCACACGATCCTGAGATCATGACCTGAGCCAAAATCAAGAACCAAATACTTAACCAACTGAGCCACCCAGGTGTCCTCTTTCCTAAATATTTTTGACATGGCTGATATTTTACTGTTTTTCTCATTTCACATTATAACATAACTTTTCCCAAGCTCTTTATAAATACCTTTTGATGACTGATGTAGCAATAAAACTTTGTGGAATATTCTGGTTATTTTTCAATTTTTTACAATTATAACAAATACACTATAGTGAACATTTTTAGGCATAAAACTTTTCTCTACCTATTTGATGTCCCTCGTACAAACTAAAGGTCCATGGACACAACAAAACTTAGCTATAAATGAGGTCATATTAACCACATAAAGCAAATCCCCCTACTCTTTTACTTTCTCCTGACAACACAGATTTCAGCCACCTGTAAATGCTCCCAAGCATATTTTAGACTCTCAGGAGGAGACTCTTACGTGTTTTGGAACAAGTGACAATTATTGTACACTGCCACTACCACTCCAGAGTATCTGCGGAGTACCACAAACAATGCAAGGTAAAACAATTAATGAATTAAGGTTCCCTCCTCTTTCCAAGTAGGGGCTTGATGTGGAAGTGGGATACATGCCCAGCTCCTCCAACTGCCTTGTACCCTTTGATTTCACTGGACTCCTTCCGAAAGGGCTTATACTTCCACCTACAACTGCTCTCTGTCCAGGGTTCTGTGCCCAGGTCCATGCCCAGATCTAAACTGGGAAACATAAATTATATTGTCTTCTCTATGTCTCCCTTCTCTCCACTCAGAGGCACTTATGAAAGGTTTCCTCAGTTGTTTCCCTAACTCCATGCCAGTAACTCTGCAGCCCTCCAATTTATTTGACCACTAGAAACAACCAGCTGTTAAAAAAAAGAAAGAAAGAAAGAAAAGAAAAGAAACAACCAGATATTAAATCAAACTTTAAAAGAGATTCTTAGAAATGTAATTACAATGGGGTAATTGGGTGATGGGCATTAAGGAGGTCACAGGATGTGATGAGCATTGGGTGTTATACACAACTGATGGATTATTGAACACTACATCTGAAACTAATGATGTATGACATGTTGGCTAATTTAATTTAAATTTAAAAAAAGAAATGTAATTACAAGGTCAAAGTGTACAAAGTTTAAGGTTCTTTTTTTAAAGATTTTATTTATTTATTTGTCAGAGAGAGTGAGCACAGGCAGACAAAGTGGCAGGCAGAGACAGAGAGAGAAGCAGGCTCCCTGCCGAGCAAGGAGCTCAATGTGGGACTCGATCCCAGGATGCTGGGATCATGACCTGAGCCAAAGGCAGCTGCTTAACCAACTGAGCCACCCAGGCATCCCCAAAGTGTAAGGTTCTTAATACTGTTGCTAAATGCCTTGTACCAGTTTATACAATGACAGTGCAGTGTGAACAAACCATCAGGACTCAGTGGTTAAATGTAATAACCTAAGTTCACTGATGTTTACAAGAACAGGTTTTCATGGGGAAAAAAAGTGAGTCTGGAATTGAACTTATTTGGTTTTGTTATGTTTTGTTTTTAGGAATTGGGTTTATTAAAGAAGAAAGGGTATGGTTTGAAATAAGGGGCACCTTGAGGCAAGGCAAATGATATGAAAAGATCAGTGGTTCGGTCGCCAAACTGTGGAAAGAACCAAGATGCCCTTCAATGGACGAATGGATAAGGAAGATGTGGTCCATATACACTATGGAGTATTATGCCTCCATCAGAAAGGATGAATACCCAACTTTTGTAGCAACATGGACGGGACTGGAAGAGATTATGCTAAGTGAAATAAGTCAAGCAGAGAGAGTCAATTATCATATGGTTTCACTTATTTGTGGAGCATAAGAAATAGCATGGAGGACAAGGGGAGATGGAGAGGAGAAGGGAGTTGGGGGAAATTGGAAGGGGAGGTGAACCATGAGAGACTATGGACTCTGAAAAACAATCTGAAGGTTTTGAAGGGGCGAGAGGGTGGGAGGTTGGGGGAATCAGGTGGTG